TCTAGTTTACAAGCACAGTGTGAAGCCTGGCACTCCAAGAACACAAAAACACTCACAATGTCTTACTTCGCACAAAGTTTAGACTAACTCGTTGTTTTTATAGATTATAAAGGTTTTAAGAATTAATATTTCAATCTGTTTAAACATAGAAACATAAATTATGAACTATTTTTTGATTATGCAGTAATATGTAAAAACGTTTTAAATTACTAAAACTATGAACACATCACTTCAGCTTTCTAAAATGAAATATGCATTTAATGAAAATATGTTTCAAAGCCAAACTGTTGAAACCATTATATTAGTAACAAGAAGAGTTGAATACATCAGTGGGAACTACTTACAATTTGCTAACAGAGGTGTGGTTGAGACCTCATTTCCTCTGTGCTTGTTGGTTAAGGTAGTTGACTGTTTTATGGGTGAGAAGTGCTTTGTTGTAGAGGGAGTGTAGACATGCCTTACTTGGATTCCCGGGGAAGGAGATGTATGGATATTGCATTCAGCTAAGTAAAATAAATTTAAACACATTAAAACAATATGGTAATGACAAAGCATTTCAAAGTTCTATGTCAATGCTTACATTAAAAAGGAAATACATGAGGTAAATCTTCAACTGTTTCTCAAGTGATATTAAATTATTTTTGCCATAAAGTCTGGACTATGAGAGTGAATGTTCCAGAAAAAAAATTTGTATTAATGTTGAGCAATTTATTTTTGGAATAGTATTTTTATTCAATAGAGTGTTGTAAAGTAAATCTACAATATGATGACAGATTTCACTGAGTTAAAGCACAGGAAGCTAATGCTAATCAAATATTCAAGGAATAAGGAATATTAAGGTAATTCACTTGTAAAAGACAACAATACTATTTTTCTCCTATGGTTTAGAAAGGAATAATAGAAACTTTATTAGAGAATTTCTAAATAAACAAAGATTAAGCAAGAAATTTAAAAAACGCAACATGTACTTATGGACATTATGTAACATGAAGTCATTTAATTTTGGTTTCTGTGAGATTCTAGAAAATCATATTAAAAGATGACTTGCAAATTTTCTTCCTAAATTCAAAATCTCATGATCAGAAAGGAATGAAAAAAAAAACCACACTCTAAATAAACAAAAACAAAACAAATGCAGATATTTATACCATAACTTTCAACCTTTAAATAGGACAGATGCCACCTCCAGGTCCGAGTTAACCTGATCTTGAATATTTTTACTATCCTCTTCATTTAAGGACTTCACAAATCGAGAACACACGTTCATATCAAATCGGTTAGGCAATATGAATTTCATCCCCATGGCAACACCCTGTGCCGATCCTTCTTGTGCATTTGAGTCCAGCTGATGTTCTATTTTAATGTCTGGCATGCCAGTTAGACTATAACTGCTGGGACACTCTTCCACTATCAGCTGGGCTCCAAGATCCAGATTTGCTGATGTGGCCATGATTTCAACTGTAGTTTTAATAATTAAAACATTTCTTCATAATTTCTTTTGGTTTTTTAAGAGTGGCATCCAGTGTATTCTTGAAATCTGAGTATAAAAAAAAATCAGAAAGAAATTAAAAGTATTATATCAACTTAGGTAGAAGTGCATAAAATAATCATTTTCAATCAAGTATGCAAACAATATTCTTATAAACACCTATTAATAAGAGAAAGCATACAATGTTCATAGGTAGAGAACCCTGGATATAAATCCAAGCTCTGTCATTTATTAGCTGAATGAACCTTACAAGTTACTCAGCCTCTCTAAGTCTCAGCCTCACTTGTAAAATGGAGATACCACCACTAACCTCACAGGATCCTGGTAGACCAAAAGAAATACAGTAACATTTTCACCTTCATCACTAAGTTCCAACAAATTTAATTACTCTTTTCTCCCCTTTCCTATTCCTGAATATTGGCAAATGGATGAAAGATCAGGCTAACAAGAAAAAATAAACTTTCATGTGAAAACTTTAACTTCTCATCTTAGGTTCATTTTTTAGCATGCTATGTTTGTAAGTGGCTCTCAGTTTGAATTTAAGATAGCATTCATGTTTGTACTCAAGTCTACGGGCATGTACAATACCCGTGATTCCTAGATAGTGAAAGACTGTACAAAGCTTTGGTTATGATGAACTGGAGACATATTTCTTTATCAGTTTTTGTTCAAATCACATGTTACCAAATTAATATAGATTTTTATGAAAATAAAGTGTGGAGATTATAGATTGGCTTCCTTTGCTTTAGCATCTCTAGGACATTAGGATCAAAGTAGAATTTTTGGATCTCAATCTTTGCAATAAGTATTAAGAATACTTTTTTTTCAAATATACGTCATCAAGACATGAACTAAAAAAATGCCAACTCTTGCCAGAACCGGTTTGGCTCAGTGGATGGAGCGTCGGCCTGCGGACTCAGGGGTCCCGGGTTCGATTCCGGTCAAGGGCATGTACCTTGGTTGCAGGCACATCCCCAGTGGGGGGCGTGCAGGAAGCAGCTGATCAATGTTTCTCTCTCATTGATGTTTCGTCTTTGCAATAAATATTAAGAATACTTTTTTTCAAATATAGGTCATCAAGACATGAACTAAAAAAATGCTGACTCTCAATGCATAGATTATAAGCACACCATTTACTATTATTTTAAAATTAGTTTTCAGTAATCATTGACACTTCCCTATGGACCTTACTATAATTTTAAGAGAAATTTCACTATTTTACCTAAAATTGGTTCTAAAAAAAAGAACTCCAAGACATATAATTGTCGCAGATTATAATCACTGAGACATGAAAACAACATCCAATTAATTGTTTCATGTTAGAGTTTCCTGCCTCTTAGAATTTTGAGAGGGTGCAGGGTGTTTAAAAATGGAAGAATGTCTTAGGATCACAGTGAAGCAGAGGTTGGTAAACCATACATTTACTGATAAACATTCTCCAAGATTGATCCTTATAGCAATCCACTGAGTAGTCAGGGCAGGCAGTCATTATGTCCACCATAGAGAGGAGGAAATGGGAGCTCATGAGTATGAGGGACCCACCCAGCTCTCCTGACTCCATCACACTGTCCACTAAAATAAAGCAGCACTGCCCTAGCCGGTTTGGCTCAGTGGATAGAGCCTCGGCCTGCGAACTGAAAGGTCCCAGGTTCGATTCCAATCAAGGGCACATGCCCGGGTTTTGGGCTCCAGCCCCAGTGGGGGACTTGCAGGAGGCAGCTGATCCATGATTCTCACTCATCATGGATGTTTCTCTCTCTCTCTCCCTCTTCCTTCCTCTATGACATCAATAAAAATATATTAAAAAAAAATAAAGCAGCACTAAATTAATCCCAAACTTCCAAGACGGAAAGAGTTGAAGAAATAACACACTGTAATAGTAATTACAAAAAAGAAAGTAACAGATAACGAAGTCAGTACCCTTCAGCAGAAGGAAAGAAGGAAACCAGAGCAGAACATAAAAATGAATGGTGTTTCTTCCGGTGAGAGCCAGCCCTACAGGCTCTTACCCTGCGGGGGCCTAGGTGCAACTCCCCGAGCTCTCTCTGCACACTGCATATATTTCTAGTTCAGCACTTATCATTCTCTTGAAAATTCCCATTTCAACTCCCCCAAATGGAAAACTCCTTTAGGATAGGGACTACTCTTACTAGACTTTGCAACACAGAACAGTGCTTGGCCCTATCAGGTACTCCACAAATGTTTTCTGACCTAAACTTTAACATCTTCATATTCTTTTCTATCCTGAAACGACCCTGCATTATGCTCAACAAACATCTGCTGATTACACCTGGTGTTCCATTCCCACCATCACGACTAGCTAGCCGTACAACCCTGGACAGACAACGCATGTAAAGTCTAATGAGACTCATTTTATTCACCTAGAAAACAAAAACATGGTTGAAATAAACATGTCTAATAGTCTTTCCAGCTCGAAACGCCTTCCATGTAATAAATCAGGGTTTACAGGAGCAACTCCGGGCCTTTGAAGGGAGGAGTGCAAACGTCCTTGGGGGAGGAAGGGGCAGAAATACATAGGACGCTATTCTGGCCCTGCTCTGGAGAGGAGCAGCGAAGTTGACTGGTTAGGCCAAAAATTGGAATTGTAGGAGGGGGGAAAAAAGGTGATCGGTAAGAGAAGGCGGCGAGAAAAACAGGTAAGGCCAGGGAGAGCTGAGACCCCTCCATCTACCAGCGCGCAGCGAGGAAGGGAGTGAGGGGCCCCGAAGGCAAGTGGCACCGCGCTAGTCCCCGGGACGCCGACCAGCGGCGCCCGCTCTCCCCAGCCCCGAGCTGTCCCCCAAGGAAAGGCGAGCGCCAGGAAAATGAACGATGCCTCACGGGCGACAGGTGCCCCGGCGTCCCAGGACTGCAGCCCGCTACAGGGAGCCTGTGCCGGGGAG